AAGGGGTACTATACCGAGACCACCGGAACGGAATAGTCTGTCACGGTCATGTTCCACTGGAACCGCTGACCTGGCAAGGAATACTGTACTTCTGTACAGCGCTTGAAAAACAAAAACTCCAGCAGAATACTCAAATGGAGGATGTCCAAATTCAAAGAGTATGGTTGAGGGTCCCAGTAATGGGCTTGATAGCAAAGGGCTCGGGGAAGACAGGCTCCAGGGTTTGGCTTTGGGGTGGTGAGCCTGAGAAAAACCCGAACAATTAACAAAGACACAAACCCGCAATCCTATACCCTAAGTGGGAAATCTGAACACCTAAAGCCTGAAAAATGAGGCTCAGGATCTATGGAGGGTTAGCCTGTAGAGGCCATAATTTAATCCAAGGATCATCTCGAAAGACTTTCCCTTCGACAAAGTCAGAAACCCGAAGCCCCTAACTGTACTATTAAGAATGAAGCAGTCAGCCTGGGGCCACAGAGGATTGAACGACAGTGAGAGTGAATTTGTCATATGTGGGCCAAATATAAGGCTGATGTAGAAAATTCTGGCTGGAAGAGCTGTTGTTTGATGAGACGACTTCAGGGCCTGGGTCCAGCAATTCTTCTTAATTGAAATGCGCAGACTACAGAACCCCACCCATGAAATAACTCCATGTTGAAGCCCTGACTGCTGAACCAACCAATCCGTTGGACTCCAATGGAATGAAAACCTAACAGTCAAGTGAAAGCAAAGCCATTGACATGCTTAGTTAGGTCCTTTTCTTCCAGAAGCCATGACTCGGCCGTTTGCATATCCCAGAAGCGGCGGTCGAAGAGGCCATTGGTTCAGAAACTTTCCCATGTATGTCATTTCTCGCGCTATTTAAAATTAAGGATTATGGCCACTTTGGCTTCGGAACATTTGGTCTTGCCTTGGCTGGCAAAGGCGGCTTTGCTTTGCCCTCCGCCCCCGGCTTGGCCTTTGGTCTTGCCTTGGCCGGCACCTCCTCTGCCACTGGCTTGGCCGTTGGTCTTGCCTTGCAAGGCAAAGGCGGCTTTGCTTTAACCTCCTCCGCCACCGGCTTGGCCTTCTCTGCCACCGGCTTGGCTGCCACAGGCTTGGCCTTCTCAGTCTCCGCCACTGCTTTGCTGGTCACCAGCACCACGCCAGCTGGAGCCACCACACGAAGAGGCGCTGCTTGAGTTGCAGCTCCAAGCAGGAAAGGTTTAGAGTTTTGGATTTAGGGTTTAGGGTTTAGGTTTTAGGGTGTGCATTTGAGTTCAGTTTCAAATTGTACGTCTTCAGGACAAGCTTCGATGGGCGTGAACTGGAAGAGCCCTTGACGGCTGTAGATCTCCAGGATACTGATCGCCATCAAGCGGGTGGCGTCGGCCACATCCATAGACCCAGCAAGGGCTTCCAGGCACTGCATGAATACTGCTGGAACCTGAACAGAGGAGAAACGAATTCAATAAATCCTTGAGGAAGGCAGTATGGCCAAGGCAAGGAAGCTGGGATCAAATTTACAAAAAATTCGCCAAGCCACCCATAGGCAACCTGGAATCTGGCACCATCGTGGTTCCAATGCAGTCTAAGGAACTGCAGTGCAGCTGGGCGCGAGGTTGGCTCGAATCGAACCCAGGCTTAGGTGCAAGGAAATAAAAAGTACACAGGCATGTCAGGTGAGTCCAATCGAACCGTTATTAAGCGATTGGCAACTATCAAATTATGGCTGAAGAAATCTTGAACTTTAACATGGCCAAGGGACAGCGAATGACAACCCAGAATCTGCAAAAGAAGAGTTGAATTGCAGATAATTATATCCCAAACCTTACGGCTGGAGCTCTTAGGGTTTAGGGTCAAGGGTTTAGGGCTTAGGGTTTACAGTTCAATTAAACACTAGGATTTAGGGTATCAGTAGGAGCTTAAGGTTGAGGAGTTCATCCAGATTTGGGGATCGGGGTTCAAGGTTTAGGGTTCGGGTTTCTTGGCTTAAATCTAATTAAAGGCTCAGGGTTCAGGCCTGGGCCGGGCCCCCCCAAACAAATATTCCGACATTTGATTGGGGACCCCCTGGACTATTCAGAATCCTATTTGTTGGGGGAGGGGTTACTAATCGGAACCCCCCATTACTACTCCTACTGCTCCTACTCCTACTCCTACTCCTACTCCTGCTCCTGCTACCACCACTATTGGCACTGCTACTATTTGTTAATTTCCCTTGCAGCACGAGCCCTACACAAACAAACAAGCCATTCTCACGTCTGCCGCCGCGTGTGGGCAAAACATGTGCATCTTTATGATCATCATCAATGATACTGCACCTTTGATTCTGGCGGCTACAGCCCTCTGCACCCTACACTTCAACCTCCGCTAAACCCAAAGCCCACAGATTTGAGCAGCACCTGTAACAGTTGCTCCAGCATTCCGAGTTTGCTCATGCCCCAGCAAACACGATGTAGGGCTGGTTGTTTAGGAGCTGAAGAGACAAGCCCTGAATTTCCCAATGTCAATGCCCATTCTACTGATGAGAAGAACAGCCATGGAGAACGCGTTTTTTGGGTGGGCGCATCAAGCTTCTAGGGTTGGGTACTACAGGAGCCTGGATGCTCAAGTGCCACAATCATTGTGGGATGCACCACATGTATTTCATAGTGCTTTATAAATCACACCGATTCCTCCTTCTGATTGTTGAGGCCCCTATAGTATGTGAGACGGGAAAAGGGGGCGTAGATGTCCATCCGGAGAATCTGCGATGCAGTGCCTCAAAAGGGAAATCAGCGGCCAAAGGCTTGGATCTTGATTTTGAGCTTCAAAGTGTCAGCCGTCATAATGGTAATAATAGTATAATAATAGAATGAAAGCAGTCATAGTAGTAATACTATTAATACTCAGTAAATATTTCAGTATCATCGATCGAGGATTCTAGAACATGGAAGGGCTTTGGGGGTTGTGACGTGGAACAGCTGTGAATAATGTGCAATACGAAAACCATTCAGCAACTCGCGCAGCCCGTGTGAAAGGTTTAGGGTTTAGGGTTTAGGGTTCCTATCCAAGTGACAGCTGAGACAAGACCGCTTGTCTTGGCGGGCTTAGGGTGAAGGCAAGCAGCTCTAGCCGAAGATCGAAGAGGTAGAAGCCATGCCGCTGTGATCATTGCAGCATCACCTTGACGCAAGGCGCTTCAAGCAGAAAGACCTGCTTTTGATAAGGGTCTGGGGGTGCATATGCTCCCATCGTCACGACGTAAACCACGTAACCAGTCATGGCCAATGAGGGTTCTGGTCTCCGTTGCCTGATATTTTGCATCTGCTTCTCCGCCAAACTGAAACAGCTTCAAACCTTCTACCATGAGTCTTGCACCTGTCATCAGCACTACCATTTTGGAGATCTCTCCCTGCCGTATTAATGACGTAATGACTTTGCTGCCGAGCGTCTACATGCTTGTATCCAAGATGCTTCAGAATCGGACGACAGCAGGCCTCTGAGAAGCCTGGAGTGCATTGGTCAACCTAAATAGCACAACTCAAACTAACAAAATGGAGAATCAAATGGACAAGAAGGTGGGAAATGGCATGGTAACTAGGATTCTATGGAGGTTGTATCAGCAGAGGACTTTGGTAACCACCATGCTGGACTTCTTGAAGAGGAAGCCAGGCGATGATTTGGGCATCTAAGGGGCTCTTCAGGTGTGGGATGTATGGATCATGGAGAGCCCCTCTAAGGGATAGGGTTTAGGGTTTAGGAGTTTAGGGGATAAGATGGCTCCTATGCCATCCCTCTGACATGCCAAAATCTATTCCCGCCTTGAGGACCGCAGACGAAGATCACGACATCTTCGCCGGGCGGCGGCCTCACCCATTCACCCGACATGAGGACCTCCAAAAATTCGAAGTACATATTAGGGGCCCATACTTCTAACCTTGGAGACTGGAGGGTCCCTAATGGGCGCAATGTAGGGATGATTTCGAGAAACCTCCACATCCATACTCTCACGCTGCTTAGAACAGGATCTTCAGTAGTGCGTTTGTATTGCTATTCAAAAACATCCGTGAAGCCCAAACACTTCACCCTAAGACCTGAACCCACATCCCATACCCTGAATGCTCTAGGTTTTCCAGTAACCCATTAATCACAAGGGTACCCTTTTTCCTACTGTTCAGCTTTAATAAGGAGACTCCAAAAATGAAAAAGGGCAAAAGGGCACTACTGGGGTACCTAGTCCTAGTATGCCACCAAACTTCATCGCCGCTTTGACCATCTCCTCGGTCACTCGCCCGGTGTAGCAAAGGGCTCCTGTCCGTTTAGGGGCCTTGAAGCACCTCAGTTCTGAGGGGTGCTTCATGACTGTAGTAAATTACAAAGGTTTAGGGGTTTAGGGGTTT